AAGACCGAGAAGCGCTGGCGGGCAAGGGCTAGGGGCGGCTGGCAAGAAGAGAGCGCCGGAACCATCCAGGAAGCGTAAACGCCCTTCGATCGCGGGGACCGGGACTAGCCAACCCGCTTCAGTCCGACGCGCGTCTGCAGGTGGACAGACGGTCCTTCAGGTGGCCGGAGAAGGGCTCCTGGGTGATACCCGGCACCTTAAATTGCACCCAGAAGCCCACCGGCAGCCAGTCCAGCTCAGGCGCATGGGTGTCCTATGGCAGTGTTCCTCAACCTTGGCAGCCTTCAGATGTGTGGACTCCAACGCCCAGAATTCCCCAGCCAGCATGTGCTGCACACCCTGGACCATTGCAGCTTCTGGGCAGTCTTCAAGGGCCGCCCCACATAGAGTGCATTGCAGTAATCCAAACCACGGGGGACCAAGGCATCCGTGGCTGTAGGAAGGGTCTCCTGGACCTGGGGAGGGAATACATCTCTGCAAGAAGGCATTGGCGAAGCATTTCTGCATGGTCCCCCCCCCCCAACTGCACTATTTGCAGAGAGAAGAGACAAGCTGGATTCTCACGAGCTGCTGAGTTAAATGAGACAAGCCCATTGTAGCCGTGTCAACTTAGCCCTTGTCTTGCAAGTATCTTATGCAAATATGGCCGCTGTTTCAAATTTCAGCTCTTCGGCAACCCCTTAAGCCTGTATCTTTACAGGGCGGAGGGTCCTTTAGGAGGATTCCCTCCTCCTAAAGCGTTGGAGCCACAGATACTCGTTTTAACCTTCACTGCTTTATACATCCCCAAATCCCTCTTGGCTCTTCTTCCATCTGCTTGTGTGCAAAGTTTTTTAAAAAAAGTTATTGCAATTTTTAAACGTTAAAAAAGCAATATGGAGAAAACAGATGCAAGAAGGTGAGGAAGCCAAGAGGGATTTGGGGATGCATAAAACAAATTATTATTTATGTTTCAAATTTGTCACTGCCCATCTCACTGCGGAGTGACTCTTAAAAGACCCTTAAAAATTAAAAGGTCAGCGATATCCAACAAACTAATTAATTACACAATTAATACTAAAACAAAAAATAAAATCAACAAATAAATGGAAAATATCTAAACGTTACCACATTAATGTAAATCACCTAAATAACAATGTATCAAAGTGGGCATATAAAATTGTCTATTCTTGTCAAATATGATGAAATGTATACCAAAGGGAAATACGGCGTGTCATTTTTTGATGAGTAGAATGTTCAAAAATGGGTAAATCATACATTTCTTAAACCCAGACTGGGATAATTATATCTCCCAATAAAATCTGTGCAAAGGAGACACGACTTCAGGGCTCCCATCTTCTGAAGTCACGAAGTAAACCAGTTGCAACACGATACGTCTCCCACCCACCCAGTCTCTACAGGGCAGACCAGCCCCTCCTTGGGGGGGAGGGCCCTTCACCCCAAGCCCCCAGCTGCATCTTCTGCCCCCTGGAAGGGAGCTGGTGAAGGGGATATTCTGTTTAATACTTGAGAAGCTGCACCACCGCTTCACACGACCCCCCACCCAGCCTTTGCTTGACTGAATCTACATGCAACAGCACACTTACCCATAAGTAAGCCGACTAGGTTTGGGCTTAGCTTGTCGCACCCTGGAGGACAGTAGTTTGTTTAATTAGAAAGCTACATTGCTTAGGAGAAAAGAGACTTATTCCCATTACCCTGCCCAGTTGTTTACTTTGAGGTGGGTAAAATCAGTTATTTTCTTTTCAGTTCAGTTTCTCATACCTTTAGTTCATTTGGTTCCTCTTACGCAGAATTTAGCAAATATGCATTTTAATGTATGTATAGAAGTACATCTACTTCTACGCCTAATAGACATTTCTACATGACTTTTTATTGTCTATGCCTTCAAGTTTTTTTCAACTTCTTTCCATAACATACATGCGTTTCTTCCACTGATTGTTCCCTGATTGGGTACAGTATCTCCTAATAGTTGGGGAGCTGAATTGCAAAATTCACAGAAATCCAAGCTGACACACCTGAGGGTCCCCTCATTTTACGCCCTCACGTGCCCGTCATTGCAGGTACAAGTCCAAATGGAGCAATCCAGAATGTCCAGGTGAAGCCCACCTTCCACCTTTAAAGAGCCTGCAATGGACCTTGAAAAGATCAACCCAGCAACATTCTCCACTCCCTCTTTTTCACCAACAGCTTTTTAGAATCGTGGCTGAGATCATGCCTTAGCAATCAAAG